TTTCTATCTGGTCAGGATCTCGATATATTCCATGTTGTAATCAATTAAGTCAAATCCCACAGTTTACGCGGTTTCTATTTAAATTTTCCCTATTATCCGCATTTTTAGGTGCTTACTGTAATCAAAGTTTAGCTTGTTTAGATCAAAACAAGTTTTTTGAGGAATACTCGTTGGTTTCAGATCGATTGGTAACTCAGCAACAAAATGGCAATGGAAAATTTATGTGTGTTGTACAAAGTACAACAGCGCGAGTAACGGAGGGTTAAGAGCAAGAACAAGCTATGGTAAGAACGTTATAGCCAGGAAGAAGAAAATATATACTTAGTAGCTTAGTTTTGTCTACCAACATTAACAGAGCATACTACTGATTGCGTACTGGAATATGTTGTATTATAGAACAAACATATAAGTATGACAAGATGATGGAAAAAAACCAAGATGATAATTATCCAAGATATTCCATCGAAATTACAAGTCACCATGATGGATTTCGCCACATTCCAATCGCACCCATCCCATCCACCGATGAATACAAATGCTGACACTCTCCTATCGATCAAACGGCCATCAATCGGGACAATTGCCATAATGTTATCTCGCGTAGGAAGGCGACATCAGCAGAAATGACATAAATTTATCTTGTTTCACCTCGGAGGCGAAAAGCAAAACCAGAACGCTAAAAGAGACATTCGATCTCCGAAGTAATAAATCCAAAATCATCATAAAACTCACTCCCGGACCAGGGCGACTGACTGTGACTTCTTTATCGATATGCGTATTGCTGAATGCGCGTCACAAAAGAAAAGACCCCCACGTGGTAATAAAGCCTAATCACTTGACATCGGTCGGGGCTGCGATTGGGAGGATGGATTTCCGCCGAGGTGGTGGATCGCAGGGACATTATCATCTTCGGAAGGCCCGATATCCAGCTGCCAGCAAACGGCTTCTCCTGGAGCTTTATGGATGTGACACGCCAACACTGTGGACATGTCCACAGCGCCACTTGATAGGGCTTGGGGAAACATTTTAACACAACTAGCGGAATTCATCATCGGTGAGCTTGGATCAGGACGGACAGTTGGTGTGTGAGACACTCTGTGTTTACAAGCACTAATTATAATAAACATCAAAACAGTTTTATTGACTTCTCCGAACGGAGCAGGGGATGGCGAAGGCCGGAATCATTCTCGATTCATGTGCTCTGTTTCGCTTCTTCGCACGGTCTTGGATGCTGCTGCATATATGAAGCTGGGCGGGTGGAAGAGTAAAAATAAAATAAAAGAGCATTTGAAAGGTTTAGTGACGAGAAGGAGAAAACATGTTCAGCATCATAAATCATTCCAATTTACCGGGACCGGACCAGAGCCGTGTGTGATGGAGATAGACAAAGTTGTTTTTTTTTTTTTTTTTTTTTTTTCATTGGCTCAAACTGGACACCAACTAGTTATGGGAACTGAGATTTTAAGGTGAACCGTAACGAAGTAGAAAATTATCGGACAGCCCCTGCCGAAGCTCATCGAACTGTTTTGTTCAGGACTAACAAATGTTCCTTACTGTTAATCCGATACCGAATTTGGGTGATGGATCCATCCAAATTTGGATCAATATGATCGAGTTCAGTGCTCGGTATCAGTGGAAATTCCAAGTCAGTGACCCAACTTTGGTCAGCGGAGCCACAGAAACACAACAGCAATCATCAAGCTGGGCATGTTACCAATTTTGTTGACACAATTTGCCTTTTGTCACGCGGGTGTCTTCCTTTTGTGCTGCGAACCAGGAGGCCCAGCTTGACAACCGGCACAGCTTCTGTTTCTTCGTCTTCGTTCTTCTTTCTTAGATGCACATTGGAATAGCCGTTGAGGCATCTTCCTTCTTCCACTTCTGCAGTAGTGTGCATCACAGCAGTTCCAATTGTAAGCCTTCAGGTAGGTTTCGCATGTTGAGGGGTGAATTATTGTGATTAAAGTTACGGTTGGAATTGGAATTGCGTACCGTCGGTGAGCAGCTGATCGGGATGGTTCAAGAGATTTCAGAGCATATGAGGTTGGATGAAAAGATAAAAATCGTAGGCGAGAAAATAAGAGCGATAAAGAAGCGTCTTTGAAATGTCTGTTTCTTTTGTTGCGGAAAATATTAAATCGACGGTTCATTTCTGGGGCTCTCGTTTACGCATGGAAGGAAGGGCACGTGCCTCTGAAAATATTTTGGAAGGTTTGCGCTAATTTTTTCGGTTGATGAGGGTGGTGCGTTGCGCACATAATGACTTTTTCAAAGTTAGATAAATGCGGGGTAAATCTATTCGAGAATGTTAAATTTAATGTGCTCAATTCTTCTTTTTTTCCTTGATTTGTTTTCCGTCAATATTGTTTTCCGTGCTGAGCACCAATGCTACCGACGCCAGGGAGGCAGCTCCTACATCTGGTCCCTACCTATCAACCCATCAAACTCATGAACCGGGAACCAACGGCTTTACTTCCCTTGTCTGTAAATAGGCTGCATAAAATTAGCAGAAGTTTTGCGTGTGACGGTGGGGGGGGGGGGGGGGGGGGGTGTAGGTTGGTCATGAAATACATGGGAATTTTCAATGTCAGTAAAAGTCATGTTCGAGCAAAACAGACCTGCTTTTAACGAATTGAACCTAATTGGAATGCATCCATTTACGGCGTAAACGTTAAAAGCAATTAATAAAAAGATAAATTAAGATTACACGACAAATGAGATGAGGTCGACTCAAAGTTGAGATTAGTTCACTCATATTCTTGAAAACATAGTTAACTCATAGACTGAGTAAAACTTTCCGAGCTTTTACAGAAATTTGTTTTCTGATATGAGCAACATCTCGATGTACACATTAAGTTAGTATAAGGAAAAAAGTTCTCATGTAGTTTCCATTGGGCTGCACATTATATTTTTTAGATTTCAATACCTTAGATATCTATTTGAATTTCACATAACATTCATGTGACCACATGAGTTCTATATGATAAATCACTAAAATTTCATTTGACCCATAAGGTTCATGTAATTTTGTGGTGCAATTCCCTATTATGACATCACATGAATGTTATGCGAAATTCTAATGAATATTTTCCTCTGGATATGTGATTTATTCTTTGAGTGCATACTTCTTGAATAAGTAAATTTTTAGTCAATTTTTCTCATATTAGAAAAAATTTATGAGGCTCGGTAAATTTTACTCAGCCTACAAGTAAACTACGGGTGATGTTGTGTGTCCAAAGCGATGCAGGTACTTCCTGAAGCAGCCATGACCAGACAGGAACTGTGTTTCCATCTACCGTTCTGTGCTGCATCTCACTCCTGCTGCCACTTAGCCATCGACACCGTTCTCACCATTTTTCGTACTCCTCTGGTTTCTCTCGTCATATAGCACTCGTAGTCCTACGCCAAGGTGATGCCGATTGGGATCATACCGGCGATAACGCAAACTGCCTCCGTCGAAATGTTTCTGTACGCACTCACGACTCGCATGGCCATGAGGCGTAACGTACTGTTCAATTTTCTTTGGTTCTTCTTCGTTTTCAGCGCTGCATCCCAGGCTGGACCTCCATACCTCAGTATCGATGACGATACACTAGCCAGAAGACGCCTCTTGCTGCTGCTTGGTCCAGAGTTGTTCGGTATGATTCTAGCTATCGCATTGATAGCCTTCGCCGCCTTCTCACATGCGTAGTTGACGTGGCTATTGAAGCTTAGTCGGTCATCGAGCATCACTCCAAGATATTTCAGCACGCATGCTATGGCGTTCTCCCCGACGGTAATTTCTGCTCGCTGAACAGCTTTACAGTTACTGACCAATAGCACTTCCGTTTTGTGGTGGGCTATCTGCAGCTTCCCTCCTTGCATCCAGTTGGAAACCGTGTCGATCGCCTCGGTTGCCAGTATTTCCACCTCTTCCAACGTCTCGCCTACTACCGCCAACACGACGTTGTCCGCAAATCCTACGATCTCGACTCCTTAGGGCAGCTTCAGCGTTAGCACGCCGTTGAACATTGCGTTCCAAAGCGTTGGGCCAAGGATGGAGCCTTGTGGCACACCCGCCGTGATCTGGATTGATTTCTCTCCCATGTCCGTCTTGTAGACTAGAACCCGGTTCTGGAAGTAACTCCTTATAATGCTACACAGGGAATCAGGAACCCTCATTCCATGCAGTGCTTCGGCGATGGCCTCCCAGCTGGCGCTGTTGGATGCGTTCTTCACGTCGATCGTTATCACGGCGCAATATCGATCTCCTCTCCGCTTATGTTTAGACGCTTTCTCAGCACTCTCGACCACTGTCCGAATTGCATCCACCGTTGATCTCCCTTTCCGGAATTCGAACTGCCGCACTGACAATCCATGCTCACTCTCCGTGCATTTCGTTAGCCTGTTGAGGATGATCTTCTCCAATAGCTTTCCGACTGTATCCAGCAAGCATATAGGCCTATACGATGCTGGATCCTCCGGCGGTTTTCCGGGTTTCGGTAACAGCACTAGCTGCTGTATCTGCCATCGGTCCGGGAAGTGACCTTCATCCGGACACTTCTGCAGCACTATCCTGAACATGTCCGGGAACGCCTGGATCGCCGCCTTCAACGCCACGTTGGGGATTCCATCTGGACCGGGAGCTTTCTTCGTCTTCAGTCCTTTCTACCTTTGTCTACCTTCGGTGTTGCCTGCCTCTGCCTCGCCGTACGGTGTAGGTGACCAGGTCATTTGGTCGTGCTTCGGGAAAAGTTCCTCCATGATGACTTTCAGCTTGTCTGGGCACATTTCAACGGGCATCGTTGGACCTCCAATCTTCGCCATCGCAACTCGGTATGCGTCACCCCAGGGGTTGGCATCAGCGTCTCGGCACAGCTCCTTGAAGCAGTTTGACTTGCTCAGCTTTATCTCCTGTTTTAGAGCGGCCTCGAAACACCACCCTTCGCTCTGCTCTGTCTGCATCAGTTCTTGTCCGCTGAACACGCCTTCTGGTTCAGAGACAACTAGCGCGGAGGGTGCTAAGTGCCTCGTTCCAGTACCTCGTCTTCCGTTGTGATCTCATCCAGATCCTTGCACTCGACCACTGACTCCTGCGATAAGGCTCTTACGTTCGCGTCCTCGCAAAGAGATTTTTCGACGAGTTCCTTGAAGGCTGAACTCCTCACCGACGGGTCCTTTTTCAGCTCGAAGAGCATCTTGCCTTTCTGGGTGCGCCTGGTTTTCACCACGTTCTCGCCTAGTTGCTTCAACTCCGGATCCTCTCTCACTTTCCGGAGGAGTGCTGCGTATGTCGTTTTGTCTTTCGCCTCGATATCCAGAGCGTCGCCCTTACTTCTCTCCCTACGATGTCTGCGGTGTTCCTTCTTCTTGACTTCCTTCTTCCTCTCTTCCGTCTTCTTCTTCTTCTCTTCCTCTTCCTCTTCATTCTTCTTTTCCTTCTCCTCCTTCTTCTTCTGTTCCTTCTTCCTTTGTTCCTCTTCCTTCAGTTTTTTCCTCTTCTCCTTCTGGTTTTCGACTTTACGCCAATCACTGTCTTCTCCATCTTCTTGCTCATTGTCCCCGTATACGTCATCACTGTGTTTTTTGGGGTCCTCTTCGTCTCCTGGCGTTTCCCTATCTCTTTTCTCCGGACGTGGATTCGTTGGTCCCTTCGGCGTATCCATTCTTGCAGTTCCCGATCTGCCACAGCAATGCCGGATTTGATGACCGTCGCTAGTAGCTTGACCTCCTTTCAATGCTACCATGTTTATTGTTGCCATACATCAACAGGCTGGCTGTAGCCCAAATGATGTTAATAATACTAATCATAAAAATAATAATAGTAAAATTACATGTCAAATAATCACAGAAAGAAAAACAAAGCAACATGGTCAGAATGTAAAAAAAAACATAAATGGAAATACACTAATTTTCTCTGTCAGTCACTGCGGCCGGCGAAAACAGATGAGAATCTCCGACGAAGCGCATCACGTGTGAGGTGAAAGTCGAATACAGATGCGACTCTATTGAACACACGCTGTAGTCCGCAAATCGCACCATATGCCCCGTAGTTCGTGCGACGCAGTGGCAGTCTCAGCATGAGGTTGTTACGGAGTGGTCGGGGTTGCACGTTTAGGTCAATTTGCCTTAGGATAGCCTCACAATCTATTCGTCCCTGTAGAGTGTCGGCGATAATCAAAGCTCTGTTGGTGTCCCTTCTAATCCGGAGAGGTTCAAGGTTTATCAGTTGGCAGCGACTCTCGTAGCCGGGCAGCCGAAGCGGATCTCTCCAGGGCAGTCTACGAAGCGCAAAACGAAGAAAGCGACGTTGAGCAGATTCGATTCTCTCGGCACCATTGTTGTAATTCGGATTCCAAACCGCAGAACAATACTCAAGCGTCGATCGTACGAGGGAGCAGTAAAGATATTTTAAGCAGTAGACATCGGTGAAATTCTTAGCTATCCTGAAGATGAATCCTAAAGTCCTAGACGACTTATTGATGACATAAGAAATGTGTTGCCTGAATGTTAGCTGTGAATCCAACACCACACCCAGGTCTTTCACCTGATTCACGCGTTCGAGTGTCGTTCCAAGCAGGTCATAGCTGAATACAATCGGTTGCTTTTTTCGTGAGAACGTTATGGCAGAGCACTTTGCTGGGTTCACTACCATTCGATTTAAAGTACACCAACTGGCAAAGACATTAAGCTGATGTTGAAGATTGTGGCAGTCAGCGATCGAGCAAATTCGTAAAAATATTTTGAGGTCGTCTGCATATGCTAATCGAGGTCCTTCGATAACCAGGTTCACGTCGTTGAAGTAGAGTAGAAAAATCAACGGTCCCAGATGGCTTCCCTGCGGTATACCTGATGTGGCAAAGAAGCTAGCTGATTTGCAATCTCCTATAGCAACCATAAGTTGGCGACCAGTAAGATACGAACGGAACCAACTCAAGAGATTACCGCTCACCCCAAGCCTGTCAAGTTTAGCAATCGCAATGTCATGATTCAACTTATCGAATGCCGCGGATAGATCGGTATATATAACGTCCGTCTGTACCCGTTCAGTCATACTATCGGTAATGTAGGATGTGAGGCATAGCAGATTGGTGGTTGTAGAGCGACCGCCAGTAAACCCGTGTTGATCAGCACTCAGATACTGCTTGCTGTGAGAGAGCAACGGTTCCATAATAACAAGCTCGAATAGTTTCGAAACAGCACTCAGCGATGTAATTCCACGATAGTTATCCACGGCTCGTTTGCTTCCCTTTTTGTGGACAGGAAACATGTGTGCACATTTCCAGAAGGATGGAAATATACCACTGGAGAGAGACATCCGGAATAGACGGTGAAGTGGAGTTAACAAGCAAGCAATATGTTTCTTCAAAAACACGGACGGAACTCCATCGGGTCCAGGGTTGAAGGACGATTTGAGCTATGTGTATGTTGTTCTTATCCTTCACGAACACATAGAGTTCATCGATCTTCCTCCTAACCTCCGTCATTTTGGTTCTCCCAAGCTGCAATTCTTGCTGTTTGCCACTGCTGGATTTCAGTGTGAATATTTGGCATGGCACCGCACCTAGCTGCTCTCCTTGGAGTCCATGCTGTTCCACTTGGGGTATGCTACTACTGGAACTCGCTGTGGTCACCTGGTTCGACGCTGGTGATCTCTGCAACTTTCCGCTTCGTGCGAACACGTTCGCTCCTCCGTTTTCACTATCTGGCGTCTTGCCGTCGTCCTTCATATTTTTTTTGGTTTTTTTTCATTTTCGTCTTTTTTGTTTTTTAATATGACCACCATCCGAAAGGACTTGGTCACCTGACCAACTTTGCTCAAGACAGCAACGTTCTATATGGCCAGGTTCTCGAGATACAGTTTATATAGGAAGTTCACATGCACACTAGCGCTGCGTAGTGAGACAGTTATGAACTAATATGAACACCATACAAAAGGACATGATCACCTGAACAACTTTGCTGAAGGCAGCAACGTTCTATATGGCCAGGTTCTCGAGATACAGTTTATATAGAAAGTTCACATGCACACTAGCGCTACGTAGTGAGAGAGTTCGTAACTAATATGGTCACCACCCGCAAGGACTTGGTCACTTGAACAACTTTGCTCAAGACAGTAACTTTCTATATGGTCAGGATCACGAAATATTCAATGTTGGACCTATGATCCATATATTATAGCACCCGTCATAAGTAACATAAAAGTGAAGCGCCTCTAGCGGCGCAGTTCCCAATTAAACCTTATTCCAATGACACAGGCTTGTTGATCTATCCCAGTACAACAACTTTGTCCAAGATAGTATAGCTCTATATATTGAACCAAATGAGATAATCCACCACAGCCCCTATTAGTGAAAATCCCATAAGCTGTGGGTATCCTTATTCGCGGTTCCTTATTCACGCCCCTGTTACCCCGGCAATAAGGATTCCTGACTGTAAACATTGAGTGGCCATTCAATTCTTACCTAAGTCCATTTAGCCTACCACCCCCCCTCCACACCATCAATGTAAGAATGTCTTTCCTTATATGACACTTACGAAAAGTTTGAAATTCCAGTTCCCCCGCCCCCCTAAATGAGCCCGTATATTTTGAATGATTCCTAAAACATAAATCTTGCATTATCAAACAGCATTTAAAGATATTATGTTAAAAAAATTAAGCGAAAACAAATGTCCCGATTTTGTCAGTGTCCCGTTTTTGTCAGCCCTAAATTCATCAGGGGGCTGACAAATTCGGGACATTACAGTACACTTATGGGAGTGTGCTGCATGAGGATAATCAGATGGTGAAGTTGATTGTGAAGTGATGGATTGACTCAAAACACCGGTGGATTGACTCAGAGCAGCGGTATCGAATAGTGTCGAGAATGGAGCTGTGGTTCGGCTGGAACTAACGGCTGAAATCGATGAGGGAGCGGTATACACAAATATAATACTGAGACTCAGAAATGAAACAAACATAACTTATAGCTTACCTGATCCTTTGAAAAAGTTCGTTATGGGGATTACTCTCTGGTTCCCTTTGAATTTTCTCTATATTTTCTACATGTTTACGACAAGGTACTAAACGGCGAAAATGGCTGCTTCGTTCACCACTAAAACTGCATCCGGGGGATGGAAACACACTATCCGTTTCATTCAATTTTTCAGTGGCAGTTACAGATCGGCCAACGTGAGTTGATTTATCCAAACAAACCGTCAAATCGTATGGAAAATGTTCGTTTTGGATACAACATGGCAGCACATTGTCAAATCTATAGCTATGACCGTCTACAGCAGTGAGCGCTCGTTCATGTGGTGGATTTCAAAACGCGCTAATTTCTAATGCGTGTTGCAAAATGCATCGCACGTGAAATTTGATTAAAGATGGAAAACAGTGTGACCATAAACATTTTAAAATTTTCCCTTGATTTCAAAAGTCTGTGAATATCTGTTAAAAACAAAAGTCTGTAAATGTCTGTAACGAAAAAAATGTCTGTGAAAAAATAAAAGTCTGTGAATTCACAGACATGTCTGTGAATCTGGCATCTCTGGCCACTACACCACCGGCGCCGCTTGTACTCTACCCTCTTCAGACCTTCTCTAGCTAATAAATTATCACACTAAAGCTTCATTTTAGATAGCATTTCCAACCAACTCTGAAAATCGTAAACTTCACGTATGAAGTAACATAAAAATACTTTGATTTTTTTTTTATTCTTTATTAAAGAGATTTTTAGCCTTAGGCTAGTTCATCTCTAAAATACTTTGAATGTAATTTTCAATATTTTGATCCAAAATGAGATTATTATATTAATTTTGGATCAAATACAAAGCGATTGATTTCAATTCTGCATATTCATGTAATCAGTTGGCGTGAAATGATCCATAAGTGAAACACATGAATACAATAATTAATTTAAAGGGGAAATGGATGTAATGTCGGCCTATATGCTCATAATTTAGGCCCATATATAAATTCAGCAATCGACTAAATTTTCAATATCGACCAAAAATATCCATTAGTACCGTCTCAATGACGCGTTCATCTAGATAAAATTGATAAATAGCAGCTTTTTAGCGAAGGGCCCAATATTAGATCCATAGGCAAACATTAGAGCAATTTCCCTTATTTTGTGTATTTCAAAAAACTATTTTGACATTTTTGCTTAAAATAAACTTCATACAAGAATTTAAACGTCTGATTCCGATTCAGTGAACCCAAATGCATTATTCACATTTACTTTAAATGCACTGAGAAACTATTAGAACGGATGATCAATTTCATCCCATGTTCACATTTTATAATTAGAGATTAGGAAAATTTCCTAAAAATAAACAATGCATCTAATATGGTATGTAAAATAATAGAGTTCTCCCCTCCCCTAGTAGCACACTTGTCACAAACCGATTGAGGTGACTGCTATAGGATTCATTTTAGTCACAATCAAGTTGCTGCAAATTTGTTTGGCAGATATGCGTGCTACATCGGCTCATTGCTACTCGTGGTTTAATGTCCTATTTTGTGGAAAATTATTTCGATGTTTACGTTAAACAGTGATCAATTTGCCCCTGGCTTACGTTTTTTGAAAATATGAATTCTAAATTTTGATACAACACGAGGAAAGGCAACATTTTTTTTTCAACCCATTATTCTATCAGGAAATTTATTTGTAACCGAAAGAAAGCGCGTAAAGTAAGCCAGCAAAATCAACGATGCAACTCGAAAACCTTGATAGTCCGCATGATAAAACGTAATGTCACTTCAAGCTGATATCTAAAATACACAATTCATGGCAGAGCACCAGTTTTTGGCGCGTTCTCTCCCACTCCATGCTGGCCCGTGTATTTTTATCCGTTGTAATCCCACATCATTTTTCACCACACCAGCGTTCCCAAACAAGACATCCCGTGCCACCACGAGCTGTTGAGATTCTTCTCACAGGCATACGGTGCGGAATTTATGTTACACCGTGAAAGCTTACACGAGAGCTTGAGATAAGATTGTCCGGAGGATCGTAGAACATGATGCATTCGCATCGTTGTGTGAGTGTCATAAGGAGCCAACCCAACCACCATCACAAAGATGTGGATCTGTATACGTCTGGGGAGGAAAACTAGCAGACTGCAATCAAGGGGTCTATCGGCTGTTATGCAGCTGCACACGCTGCGCGCAAGACCTTGATAGGGCAACGATCTAGTGACGATGCGGTGTGGGAGTTTTGCCGGTTACTGTGGGAAAGTTCTGCCCATATGATCAACAATGGCTGCTAAATGGAGGTGTTCAGATTGTTCGGAGCTCAATTCTACTGACGTCAATCAGATCAGAGCGACAGGGAACGGAAAATTCCCTACATGTCATTACCGCTGCCACTTTTATGCGAGGGTGTTTGATGCATCTTTTGAGCAGAGTATCATTTGCATTCCAAGTTTCCAATCATACCGATCAATGTAGGATGCGTGGAAACGTTTAGGGGCTTTTGATACTAAAAATAAATGCGTTTAAGAGTGAGCATCAACGTGAAGAAAAGCAACCCGAGTAGCACACTTGTCGCAAATCGGTCGAGAAACCTTCTATGTGACTTATTTCAGTAGCAATCAAGTTGCTGCTACTCTTTGACACTGAAGTGTGCTACTTGGGAAGTAGCATTTGGAAATGTTTGATTAATAGGCCTGTGTTTCGTCCAGCGGTAATTAAAGATCCTACGTTGTGATTTTTTTTTTTTTTTTTTTTGCGGTTCGATGGATCTCCTCCAAATAGGGTAACGGCGATGGATACTCGACAATCGGAACGTAAACGGACGAAGTAAAAGTCCAGATTACTGCTCTCTGAGGGCAGCGTGCCTCCTCGGCGATTTGAATTCAACTGTGTATATTTTCAGAGATATAGATTACGTTTATTTCGGGTGCTACATTGTTTCAACATTTCAATTGATTAGTCACTTCATCTTTGTTTAATTTGTTATTCTTATTTACGTATTCACTTTTTTTTTTCATCTTTAGAATACCCCTTGGGGGTTTATTTTAGTTAATGGAAAAAAATAATTTGATAACTTTCCTAATTACGAATATTTTAACCTAATTAGCAAGATTGCGTATGATCTCGTGATTTGATCTCAGACAGGCGTCTCTGAACCTTTCGATGATTAGCATACTCTGCTCCTCCAATGTCAGACAACCAGCCAAGTGATGGATCTCAGAATTTCGAGTTCGTGGGAGACTGTTGAGGATCATCCTAAGGATCTTGTTCTGTATCCTTTGGAGTTTAAGGTGGTGGCACTTTACACGTTCCGTACTCAATGGTGGAGAAGATGATTTGCTTGTGGACAGCAAGCTTGTTTTTAAGGGGCATGGTGAACTTTCTGTTGATAAGTGGGTAGAGCGACCTAATCAAGATGTTGCACTTGGTGGATGTTTTGTCCATATGGGAACGGAACAGCAATTTGCTATCAAGGGTGAGACCAATGTAGACCACTTCACTTTAACTGACATAATCCCAAGCCATCGAAACTTCCCCAAGGTACCAAGGCTGCAAAATGCGTGTCGATTCATAGTTGACATGGCTGGTTCTCAGCAATGCAATGACCCATGGTTTTGATTCAGCCACCAATCAAAAGATATGGCTATCTAATTTTATTTTGAATAGATAGAAACCCAATTGGACCTGTGGTTGGCCAGCCGGAACGGAAAAACCCGGAAAAGTCCCGAGCAAAATGCGTGTCGATTCATGTTGACATGACTGGTTCTCGGCAATTTGGTTACCACATCTTAATATTGAGTCACTACTTGAAAGGTATAACTATCTACTTTCAAACGGAATAGAGAAGGAACCGATTGGGGTTGTGGGTGGCCAATCGGAACGATAAAACCCGTGAAAGGTGGCTCTGTGGAAATTCGGATTCACCGGGAAAATGGTCAATTCCTGAAAGTAGACCTAGATATTTCGCGAGCATAGAGGAAATATACCATCACCATATCGATTTTGCAACCAAGTGGCCAGAAAACGGTCTTCTGGATATCCGGAATCACCGGCAAATTAGTCAATTCCAGAAAGTAGACCTAGAGATAAGCGATTTTTTCTAACTTGCATATAATCATTAGCATAGAGGAAATACGACATCAACATATCGATTCTGCTACCAAGTGGCCAGAATACGGTCCTCTGGATATCCGGAATCACCGGGAAAATAGTCAATTCTTAAAAGTAGACATGGAAATCGGTGCTTTTTTAAAAAATGTGAAGAACCCTAAGTTAAGAAGATATATCTCAGTGACATATTGATTTGGTCCCCCGGTGGCCATTAAATGCCTTTCTGGATATCCGGATTCTCCAGGAAAATGATCAATTCCAGAAAGTAGACCTAGAGATCCGTGATTTTTTCCTAATTTGCATACAATCATGAGCATAGAGGAAACATACCAACACCATATCGATTTTGCAACCAAGTGGTCAGAAAACGGTCCTCTGGATATCCGGAATTACCGGGAAATTAGTCAATTCCAGAAAGTAGACCTAGAGATCCGATATTTTTTCTAAATTGCATACCATCATGAGCAAAGAGAAAATATGCGATAACCATATCTATTCTCCTAATGGATAGCTAGAAGGTGGTCCTGCGGATATCCGGATTTACCGGGAGAATGGTAAATTCCTGAAAATAGACCTAGAGACCCGCGTTTTTTTTAGGAAATGTGAAAAAACCCTTAGTTGAGAAGATATATCTCAATGGCATATTGATTTGGTCCCCCGGTGGTTATTGAAAACTTTTCTGGATATCCGGATTCATCGGAAAAGTTACCTATTTTCAAAAGTATTCCTAGAGATTCGTGATTTTTTCCAAAATACATACACTCTTGAGTATAGAGGACATGTATCACCACCATAGAGATTCTGCACTGGGTCGCCAGAAAACGATTCTCAAGATATCTGAAATCACCGGAAAAGTAGTCATTTTCTGGAAGTGGATCTAGAGCTCTGCGATTGTTTTGGAAAATGCATAAAGCCCTTAGTTGAACAAATATATCTCAGCACCATATTGATTCGATCTCCCGGTAGCCATAAAGTGCGCTTCTGGATATCCAGTTTCACCGGCGAAATGGTCAATTCCTTAAAGTTATCCTAGTGATTCGCGATTTTTCTAAATTGCATGCAAGCTTGAGCATAAAGGAAATATGCCATCACCATATTGATTACACTAGTTTACAGCATATATGAACTTTGTACGCTAATGGTCATTTCCCATGTCAATATCAGTAGGATAATTTTTGAGATATAGCTAAAAAACTTAAAAGAATGTGTTTACTAAAATACAAATATCTCCGATTGTAATGAAGTTATATTAATTATTTTAACGCCAAACTAAAGGTGATTAAATTTTCTTTTGATTATTTAAAAACCATTTTTGAGTGAGTTTAGTGGTACAACCACTACTTACATTTTTAATTACACTGTTAAAAAACTTAACAAAAAAAAAATTTCTAGGAAAAATGTAAAAAAAATAAAAAAATAATAATTAAAACAACAATACAACTAATCTCACTGACAACTGCAGTTCAATTGATTGAAAGAAAATCTTCTTTTCTTTAAATTGGTGTTAAAATAATTTGTATAGTCTCATTACAACCGGAGATATTTGTTTTTTAGTAAACAAACTTTTTTAGAGTAAGTTTTCATTTTTAGCTGTATCTCGAAAACTATCCTACTGAGATTTTATTTTTTACTAGATTTTTGGATTCAGCACACGATTGGTCAAAGATTCAAGTTGATTTTTTTTTTTTACTTTTATTTGTAAGCTAGTGTTATGGTGACCAGAAAACAGGATTTCCGGAATGACCGTAAAAGTGGTTATAGAACTCTGGGATTTTTTACAAATTGCACAGTGCCTTGTGTAAAGTGGAGAAATCTCAGCACCATGTTAATTCAAACACCTGGTAGCCATAGAACACATTTTCTAATATCCAGATTCTTCGTAAAAGTCGTCATTTTTTGAATGTGTGCCTGGAGCTATGATTTTTTCTATACAAAATGTTCCGAATCCTGAGCATAATTGACATGGTAGTCACCTTAGACATTCGGATTCCTCTGATATGTGGTAATTTTCTGAATGTGGTCCTGAGTTAGGGCCTGTTCATAAACTACGTAGACAGTTTTTTTGGGATTCTTGACCCCCCCCCCCTCCCCCTGCGTAGAAAATTGTCCATATAATTTTTTTTGAATTTGTATGGGCCGTGGATAATTGCCAACCCCCCCCCCCCTAAACTGTCTACGTAGTTTATGGACAGCCCCTTACCTGCTGTTCTAATTTTTTGTTCATTACGCTATATTAAATTATTTCACGGAAATAACACATATTCGTTATAGGGTAACACAGAAGAGCTTTGCATCTTCTGTCCAAAGTCCAAAATGCATGGTATCATGAATGAGGCTGAAATATCTAACCAAAAATTATTATCTCTTATTTTATGGTTTTGCTTCTATTCATAAAAAAACACATTGAAAATTTCTCAGTGCCATCATTCACAGCATTCCTCACATCTATATTCAATGTGCATGATCGATGTGCAGAGCAAATGGTGTTTCCGCAAGTGTTACATTTTACTCGACATTTTGATGAGTTTTCCGTACATGAATAGCTTAAGTAATCTGACTTGACGGTTCTTGGTCTTAAGTTTTCTCCTTCACAATTGATGCAAACATAATACGGTTTTTGCAAGCTGTGACGCTGAAACACCTGAAAATTGCGTGAATTACACTTCCTTAAATGGTTTGACCGAGTGCAGGAATTTAAGGAAGTGCAGGGAACTTTTGCAGGAATAATTTAAAGTCTCTTTGTAATTCAGTATGCGCTCCTCTTTTCTTCGATTTTTGCTGTCACGATGTATCCAGATATCCTGAGGATCGTTTTCTGGCCACTCTGAAGCAGCATCGATAGGTTGATGGCATATTTCCTCTATACTCAAGATTGTATGCAATTTAGAAAAAAAAAATCGCGGGTCTCTAGGTCAACATTTAAGAATTGACTTTTTTTCCTGGGATATTCCGGATATCCAGGGGACCGTATTCCGGCCACTTGGTTGCAAAATCGATATGGTGTTGGTATATTACCTTTATGCTCATGATTGTATGCAATTTAGGAAAAAATCGCGGATCTCTAGGTCTACTTTCTGGATTTGACCATTTTCCCGGTGAATCCGAATTTCCACAGAGCCACCTTTCACGGGTTTTATCGTTCCGATTGGCCACCCACAACCCCATTCGGTTCTTTCTCTATTCCGTTTGAAAGTAGATAGTCATACCTTTCAAGTAGTGGCTCAATCTTAAGATGTGGTAACCAAATTGCCGAGAACCAGCATTTCAACATGAATCGATACGCATTTTGCTCGGGA